CATTGTTTTTATGTAAGGATTCATACAACCTTAATAATAAATATACTAAAAGAGCCACCACGAGTGAATGAAATGATTGATAATGAAGCATAATTTATTTGCTGTAAACTTATGTCAATCGTAAATGCATTTTCTTCAAATCATTAGGCGTAAATTTTGTCTGTCTACGAGCACTAAAACGAGCTTCGTAATAAATTTCCAGACGTCCACTGAAATGTAATGCGTACGTCAGTGATAGAGGGTTGTAGGTGTACGACTGACAGAGTCTCGGTAAGAACCTTTTTACGCGAACGGGACAGATTTACTCCTCTTATTCTTCCTTAATCGGTGAAAGGAAAAAAAGATTATTTTCGAAAGCGTTATTGGACCGTTTACGGTGCATTTGTGACTTCAATTTACCTCATTAGCATCGCCTTCGGCATTCCTATATAACGGAACACGCGGGCATGTACGAGAGGCGCAGGTATTATCGCTGAATGCGTTCGAACACGAACACTGCAATTTACACTTTGCGTACAAGAAGATTTGTTAAATGAAAATTGCCAGAGTCACGCACTACCAAATTCCGCGATTTAAATAAAAATTTCATATTCGATATTTCGCTTTGGCATCATAATCGGGTTCTCAGGAAAATATTCTGACCTCATACCATTCGTCAAAATTAAAAATAACGTTCGATGAACAAAAAAAGTGTGTCTCTCGAAGCACCATTTTTACATACGATCAGATCGCTGCATTTGATCTCGTGTTAAGATATAATGAACTCGCATTCGGCGTGAATCACGCTCTTTTAAATCGGGCATCGAAAAAAGTATTTCCACGAATCGTTCACCGTCAAGTTCCCAATCGATTACGTAGGAGAGCTCTCATTTTGTATGCAACGAAAAGATTGTAAACTCGGGAGAATTCGATGACAAGTTATTTCTTATGCAAATACGAACTAACGCGTCAGACGATCGACTCGATTTCTGGTTTGCAATCTTAAGACTGTACGAGCCGTAAGAAGCAGAAGGCAAAAGTTTAAGAAATGCGTTCAAAAGCTATGTCCAATATTTAAAGTAATAGCCATCTGCGTCTATTTGATATACAGG